TCTGCAGCCTTGGCTCCTCCCCCTGCTTTAGCACAGGCACGCGCAGCATACTCCAGATGTTTCCCTTCTTTCAGCTCCCTGCGAACAAGGCTTCTCTAGACATTCCCCACACTCCGTTCTCTGCCCGATGCACCTGCCGTGCGGCCCACCCCCAGTTATTTTCCAGAAGGTAAGGGGGCCATCACTGCTGGAGGAAGCCCTCCCTGTGCCCACCCTGCCTGGAGTGCACTAGGGACCCTTTGGGGTCCTTACCATTTCCGGCCCCTATCTCGTTAGACTCTAATGCTCTTTATTTCTGTAAAGCTGTGAGCTTCTGGAAGGCATGGCCTAGGTCTTACTCCCTGCTGTTTCCCCAGTGACCAGTGCACAGCAAGCATCCACGCTTGTTGTTGCAGGACGTGTTAGCAGAGCCCATCCAAACAAAGCTTTAAAATGTCCTCAACGTGGAGCGTTCCCAGGTGGATTTAAAAGAGCGCACATAAAGGCTCTGAGCTGACTTGCACATGTATGTGCTACTAAGCAGGAGTGACTCTGTGTGTCACACCTGAAGTGCGGAGTCATTACCAAAGGTTTCCAGGAGAGGATGCTGCTCAGAAGCCTCAAGGACAAGCAGGTGTTCTTGAGGGACCAGAGGGGGAGAGGGAGTCCTGGCGAGGGACAGCACACGGGGAGACGGACGCATAAGAGCACACGACAGTTTTAGAAAACTGCAAAGGACCTTGGATGTTAAGCCCAGCAGTTAGGATGTGACCGTGAGAGAAAACAAGACTCCTGGAAGGAGTGAGCAAGTGATCTGTCCAAAATAATGAGATCTGATACATTCTAGAAGGTTCTTTCGCACAGAACGGCTCGAGGGAAACATGGAATCTGAGACCAATTCAGAGGTTTTTGTGGTCACTAGAAAAGCTAAGGCAGACCCCTAGCTACACTTCCAGGGGATGTTCTAGTTCTCCCTTTAGAGGTGGCTCAGAGTTAGACTAGACTAGCTGAAAGTTTCCAGAGCCCACACACATTTCCCCACGACACAGTCACACAAGAGTTCTTAGAATTCTAGTACAGGGGCGCCTGCGTGGCTCTGTCAGTGAAGCATCTGACTCAGGCTCAGGTCATGATCTCACGTCCGGCTCTGCGCTGGCAGCGTGGAGCCTGCTTGGGATTCTCGCTCTCCCTCTCTCTCTGCTCCCTCCCCCTACTTTCTCTCTCTCTCAAAATAAATAAAAATAAACTTAAAAAAATTTTTATTAGCGTCCTGGAGGCCTGACAGCCCTTGCTGTCCTATCCTTGACCCACCATCCTACCCTTGTCGTACCCTCTGCCCACTCGAGAGAGAGGCCATCTGGAAGAGGTCCCTCAGTGCTCCAACTGGGGGTGGGGTCGGCCTAGAGACCCACCAAGCATCCGAGAGGAAGTCAGGAGCACCTCAGGGGCCACGTGAGTGAATTGCTAACCTCTGTTGGGTGTTGTTTCTGTTGGCCCTCACCTCCCCACGGTGCCTGGCAACACACATCTCAAAACAAAAGGAGTTTCTACATAGGCTTATGTTCAGAAAAAAAACCATGATGGGGACGGCTAAGGACTCGTACCCATCACTTCACCACTGGAATTGGGAGGAAGAAAAAGATCCCAAGAATATTAAGGAAGGAACAATTGGTAACTTACTTCCGTTCCAGCTGCATCCGGGTTTTAACCATCCATATAGGATTCATTAAGGTATTTGTGACAAAAGCTGGAAGATAAAATCCAGAAAATATCATCATTGAACATAGTCCATGTTTATTAAAGTTGTCTATTTCATATGATAAACTTTGAGGTCAGGAGTTAAATGGGTTAATACTAAAAATAGATACGGGCACTGGGATGGTTCCGTCGGGTGAGCATCGGGCTTTGGCTCAGGTCATAATCTCACGGTTTGTGCGTTCAAGCCACACATCGTCCCCCATGCTGAGTGTGGAGGCTGCTTGGGATTCTCTCTCTCTGCCCCTCCCCTGTGCTCGCTCTCTCTCTCTCTCAAAATAAATAAATAAACTTAAAAAAAAAAAAAAAAGGAATAGTAAGAAGCAGTTCTATACTGCAGATGGAAGTAACAGCCCTAAAATGTAACATCCATTGTTACGCTGGACCTAAAAGAAATCTCTCAACTTTCTAGAGCCCTGTCAAGTCTCTCCAACCTGTAGGTGGTGCTGTTGATATTTTGGTAAATCTAATCTCTACGGTAAATACGGAAACTATTCTAAACCTCAATTTATAAATTTCAGGTCCAGAAGTACGTTTTAAGAAGCTGGTGATCTAACCCAAAAAGGTCACCTTACATCAAATGTAAAACAGATGCCACGAAATCTCCACTTACCTGAATTCAAACATCTACATTTTAATACCCAACTCATCACTTCAAGAAATTGAAGTTTTAAGACTGATATGCTTCTAGGAACCATTTTTTTTAAAGTCGTTCGTCCTCATCTTAATACTACTGACTGTTCCAGACCAACCAACACGCACAGTGTCACGGTGTCAGCCTGACACACAGCGAGTTCTGAATTCCTTGTCCTCTCCACAGTCCGAAGCAGGTTCATGAGGAACCCAGACAGTGGTTTAGAAAACTCCTTCTGGGTCCGCTTTCCTTACCAAAGGTTCCTCTGAGTTAATTTGGCAAAAGTTGCAAAACCGATGACCGGGTGGAGCTCCTGGCTCGCTACCGCCCTCGGAAGTGAGGACCCACTGGCTCCCGCTCCGCGTGTCCCCCCGCCCCGGACCTCCATGTACAGTAGGGTCCCCTTTCTCTTGTAAGAAGCAGCTCTGCGTTCACTATCCTCCTGCTTGGGGTCCAGTAATTATCATCCGTGACGACTCGGATGGGCTACCAGAACTTCCGTCTGGAGCGAGAGGCAGACAAGACTGGTGGACGCGCACCTCACAGGCCGGCAAAAGGCAGAGATTTTTCACAGAATGCCAACTTAAGTTCTCCGAAATACCTTTTATTTACACAAGTCATCAAATGACACTTAGGGGCTCCTGGCTGGCTCGGTCAGTGTAGTGTGACTCTCGATCTCGGGGTCATGAGTTCGAGCCCCAGGCTGGAGGTAGAAGATTACTTAAAAAAAAAAAAAATCTTTAAAAACAAAAAATGAAAACCGCATACAGTATCTGTAAAGACATAGCCTTCCCTCAGCAATCTGCAAGTCCGTGGTCTTTTCCAAGTATTTCCTGGGGGAATAAATCCTGTTATGAATTTTCTAGAGTAAGTGCAATGACTCCCTCAAGAGAATAGATACTATCTGATCTGGTAGGAGCCTTACTCAAAGAACACTCCACAAGCCCCAAGCCCTCATCACAGTGTCCAGCTGTTAAGGCCAGAAATGCCAATAGTACACAGGGTAATGCTGGACACCATGGGAAGTCACAAAAAAGCCCTCAAATTTTTAAAATAATTTCATGAAACAGAAAGACATGAAAATGCATTAATATGCCTTTATTTTTATTTATTTTTAGTTTTTTTTATGTTTCTGTATTTTTGAGAGAGAGAGAGAAAAAGTGTGTGTGGGGGGGGGAGGGGCAGAGAGAGGGAGACACAGAATCCGAAGCAGACTCTAGGCTCTGAGCTGTCAGCCCAGAACCCAACGCGGGGCTCGAACGCACAAACCGAGAGATCATGACCTGAGCGGAAGTCGGATGCTTAACCGACTGAGCCCCCAGGCGCCCAATATTCCTTCAAAAGAAACAGAACACTGACCAGCAGTATGCATGGGCACATGTAAATTCTGAGGGAGAATAAAAGTTTTAGTTAGCGGGGAAAATGGAACCAAGTTACAAACTATTCTCGAACATTCATGCTTCCTTAGTTCTAACATGAAGCGCCACAAAAATGGTTTGAGGCCAAAGAGGAAGAGAGCTAATTTCTAGTTCCTGGACAAAGCTGCATGGCACAACACGTGTTTCAGGAAAGCGAGAAGCTGGTCTCCACTCACTGGGGGTGACCTACCTGCAGAGCCGGCTGAGAAAATATGCACAGTATTACTGTTAGGCACGAAAATGCCATTGAACTGCTCTTTGGCCTTGGAGTAACACGCAAAGTACACAGCCCTGGTGGAAGAAAAGAGAGAACACTACAGACATCGGCATGGCACTATATGCGTCCCTCCACGACCTCTGAAAAGTTTAGGAAATTAGGAGAAAGAAGGTTAACGTGTAACCCAGACGCTGGACCTTATCTGTCAAACCAAAAGCTGCTGCAGGCACCTGCAGAAAGCTCCTGCGTGTCCCTCCAGAAAGTGCCCAGTGATGGTCAAGTATCCAAAATAACTGAGGCCGGTGAGATTTGGGTAATATACAGAGTCCATTTAGATTCTTCATTCTGGATAAATGTCAATCCTTTAAGCATCAAAATACACACTAAACCTTCTAAAATCTCTAATACTACTTCTAAAATACAGCACGCTTGTCCTGCCTTACACCACAATGAGTACGTCAAATGTAATCTGACCGGTTTTTGAGGACTCAGGGTCAGTAGGAACTACCAGCATACGTGTTTTCAATGCAGAGCTTCCGCCATTGGACACGCACACCCCCCCACCCCCACCGCCACCCCTATAGGAGGAGTCTGGCCTCCCCCACGGCTCTCTGGTCCGGTCTCTGCTTTCCCTCTTCTGACTCGGCTCTTACTGGGGCTGGGGAGTAGGCGCTGGTCGGTATTTTCCCTGCTTCTTCACCAGCAATGCCAGGGAAAAATGCTTCTTTATTTTGGCTGGCCAATGCATCAATCATAGAGTATATTTTTCAACTTAGGATCTGGACTACTTATCTGTTATTTAACATTAGTCTGCTTTTTATAGGTCCCCACTGTTCTAAACGGGTGTGGCAGCCAGGAACCTACAGCAGGTTAACAGGCGTTACCAAACTATCCACAAGGAGATACAACTCAATTTTCTTTATTTGCTATATGTATCCACCATCTATTAATAATGCAAACCCCATATAATCTCACAGACTAGTACTTGTATTTCTTAAACAGCTTATACACCTATGCTATAAAATTCTAAAGGAACAAAGGGTTTAATAAGAATCTGAATTGTTACAACATTCTCAGGTGATTTGTGTATAAGGTGGGAGCACCGATCTGCAAGAATTCTAGGAAGCTTTTAGTCTTTACCTTGTATAAGACATTTTTGTGTTTGTTCTAAAAAATAATTCTCTTTAAAGTCGACCGGAGTATTGTATGAAATAACAGAAGTACCTTACTCGTCACCCAGCTCCCTGCCGGGCCTCCAGGCCATTTCTAGAAGCAGTTTCTCATCTACTTTTCACAGATATGCTATACACACACTCACCTATTATTCACTCTTGTCAAACAGACTTTACAGGGCATTAAGCCTTGTGCTAGAAAGGAGGATGTTTTAAATCAAGTAAAGCCTAGAAGCCTTGAGAATTGCTTCAGATCAGCGGTTCCAAGCGCATATGAATCACCAAGGGATCTTGTTGGAATGCAGATTATGATACAGGTCTGGGGCACAGTCCGAGAGTGTGCAGTTCTAACCAGCTCCAGGTGACGCCCACGGTGCTGGCCACGCACCGTACTTGATGTAGCAAACACTCGTCTAGAGAAGATTCCAGGTGACGTGGGCAGATGAATTTTCATTTAAGAATAAAAGAACTAGATGCTTTCACACACACACGCACACACGACACACGTGCACACATACCCACACTAAAAGACACACCAGCACTTATCACTATTCCATGTGTCAGACGTTTATAGGCAAATCCCATACTGAAAAAGACACTGGCCATCTAGAAATAATGCGCTTCAGTAAGAAAGAAGTCAGTATTATATCCTACAGGTAGCGAGCCAGCTGAAAAGGTTAAAGCTTACCTTGATGGCGCAACTCCGACCAAATTTGGACCCAAGCCTCTAAAAAGTGACTTTGGTCCCTCCTTCTCCAAGATCGACCTAAATGATAAGAGAAGATCTTTAAAATCCTGAGGCAGAGCCTAGGCAAAACAATGAGGCGTCAGCCCTCACAGCTCCTTGAAGAAAGAACAGAATGTTTGCAAGACCCCAGACTCTTATCGGATTATAGTACAATACAGCATCCAAAATCTGAAGAATACTGCTTTCGTATTACAGTGGAAAAGCAGGTTTCAAAAGCATCAGTTTGACATGTTTTCAAGGAGCCTTTTCCCTGGCTCACACGGGACCGAGATATTCAGCGTCTGTACTCCACATGCACTCCTAGTAAGGTAGGACAAGCATCTGGCAGGGCATCTGATACGGGGAATAATGCCCTCATTATAGCAAAATTCACTGAGAAACGGGTTCAGAGATGTCTCTGGATGATATTTCTTCGGGATTTTTTCCTTATTTCTAATAATCCTATCTTCCAGATATTGACTTATTGTAGAAGAGCCCCAACCAGGGATCTACAGAATGGAAAAACCTAATGATTTTCATAGGCTGGATGAATGTTACTTAATTTTTCTTCTTGAACATTTATTTATTTTTGAGAAACAGAGAGAGACAGAATGTAAGTAGGGGAGGGGCAGAGAGAGAGAGGGAGACACAGAATCCGAAGCAGGCTCCAGGCTCCCAGCTGTCAGCACAGAGCCCGGTGCGGGGCTCGAACCCATGAACCGTGAGATCACGACCTGAGCCGAAGTCAGACGCCCAACCGACCGAGCCACCCAGGCGTCCCTGGATGAATGTTATTTAAAGCCAAAGCATAGTATCACAGGGTCAAAGAGAATATCCCTTTTGCTTCTTAATTTTTTAAATTCATGGTGACATATACACAACATAAAAATTTACCATTTTAGCCATTTTTTAAGTGTACAGTTCAGGGGCATTACGTATCTCCACAAGGTTGTGCGACCATCACCATCCATCTCCAAACCTTTTTCAACTCCTACAAACAGAAATCCACAGCGGGTTAAACACGAACTCCCTGGGGCGCCTGGCTGGCTCAGCCTTCAGGTCATGATTTAACGGCCTGGGGCCTGCTTCGGATTCTATCTGTCTCTCTCTCTTTCTCTCTGCCCCTCCCCTACTTGCTCTCGGTCTCGCAAAAAAAAACGAATAAACATTAAAAACTAAAAACCACCCCATAACTCCCCATTCTCCTCTGCCAGCCCTTGGCAACCACCGTCCCGCTTTCTGTCTCTCTGAATCAGACTACTTCAGGGACCTCATAGGAGTGGAAGTGTACAGTATTTGTCCTTTTGTGGCTGGCTTATGTCACTCGGCAGCATCACTGAGGTTCATCTGTGTCGCGGCAGGGGTCAGAATGTCCCTTTTGAAGGCTGAGTGATACTCCGTTGTGTGTCTACCACACGCGGCTTGCCCATTTATCTGTCAACTGCCTCCGCCTTCGGCTACTGCGAATCAACGCGGCTACGAACGTGAGTGTCCAAGTATCCGTTCAGGTCCCCGGTTTAAACGCTTAGGGGAACATGCCCAGAAGCGGAATTGCTGGCTCACGTGGTAATTTCTAGGTTTGATTTTTTGAGAATCTGCCCTGTTATCTACCACAGCGGCTGGACCATTTTCCGTCCCCACCGACAATGCACAGGGGTTCCCGTTTTCCCACACCCTTGCCAACACACTTAAAAAAAAAAAAAAAAAAGTGCTAACGTGTTTTCTTCTTTTTCTCTTAAGTAGGCTTCATGCCCAGCGCAGGGCCCAATGTGGGGCTTGAACTTACCACCCTGAGCTGAGAGCAAGAGTCAGACGCTTAAACTGAGCCACCCAGGTGCCCCGTGTTCTGACTGAAAGCGACTAAGGAAGGATTGTGTAGAACATTCTTTAGAGGCATTTTCCCACTCCAACATAGGATTCAAATTGAAGAATAAATTTGGTTAACTGTATTCTTTTTAATGGCTCAATTTTCATGGTGTCCAAGAGAAATTTACAGTTACATTGAGGTCTTCTCTAATTTAATCTCTTTTTCTTACTGCAGATTTTTCTGCACTCGGTAATTAGGACCTCCGATCTGACAGCATTCTGAGTTTATCTAGAATTGTTGTCAACAGTTTATAAAATGCTTTATCTTCATTATGACATTGAGAGTAAAAGAAAAAGGTGTCTTCCCACTTCATGGAAAAGCTATTGGTAAAGTGAATCCTGCCAATTCTATTTCTGCTACCTTCCACTTTTCCCATAGAGAAAGTCTCTAAAAACAAAGCTGAAATTTTTGGTGGAGAGGTTAAATTGATGTTTTGGTCCCTGGCACGCTGGAAAATGTTCAAGTTTTATCCATTCGTAGCTTTCTTTCCTTTTTCAGGTCAATGTAATTTTTCATGGTCTGGAGTCCTTGGATGTACAAACAAAAATATAAATCTTAGCTTCTCGTCTTCAAATTTTTAGATGTTTATAAAATATTTCAATTGCTTAAAAATGAAAGAATATTTGTACCTGTAAGAGCTGCCCTCAAAAGTAGCAGATCAGCAGTTAGGTAAGAAAAAAGAAATAAAATATCTAGACTGGAAAGGAAAAAGCAAAGCTATCTTTATTCATACAGACTACCTAATCTTATTACATGGAAATACTAATGGGGCGCCCGGGTGGCTCCGTTGGTTAAGAGTCCGATTCTTCTTTTTTGGCTCAGGTCGCGACCTCACAGTTTGTGAGATGGGAGCCCCACGCCAGGCTCTGTGCTGACATCGCGGAGCCTGCTTGGGATCCTCTCCCTCCCTCTCTCTCCCTCCTTCTCTGTCCCTCCCCTGCTCTTGCGTGGGTGTGCTCTCTGTCTCAAAATAAGTAAGTTAAAAAAAATACTAAGGAATACACTACAAAAATTACTATAGTAAGTTCAGCAAGGTTACAGGACACAAGATCAACATATGAAGCAACTGTATTCATACACAGCGGCAATGAACAATCTGAATACGGAAATAAAAAAAAATTCCATTTACATCATCAAGAAGGGTAACATTCCTACCCACAGAGAGATGAAGCAGATCAGTGGTCGCCAGGGGAGGGGTGTGGGGAGATGGGAAGGACTATTAATGGGTACATGTTTCCTTCTGGAGTGATGGAAATGTTCTAGAATTAGATAGTGGTGGTGGTTACAGAACTCTGTGACTATACTAAAACCACTTGTACACTTTAAGAGGATAAATGTTATGGTATGTGAATAATAACTCAATAAAGCCATTATTTTAATCTTTATTTATTTTTGAGAGAGAGAGAGAGAGAGATGGAGCGTGAGCAGGGGACAAACAGAGAGAGAAGACAACACATAATCTGAAACAGGTTCCAGGCTCCCAGCTGTCAGCACAGAGCCCAACGCGGGGCTCGAACTCACGAACTGTGAGATCGTGACCTGAGCCGAAGTCGGACGCTTAACCGACTGAGCCACCCAGATGCCCCAATAAAGCTATTATTTTAAATAAGTAATAAACTAGACCTCGGTTCCACCTAAATAATTAAATTACTTCAAAATATTAGGGAGACAACAGTCCTATTTTCTAATCATAGAATGTTTTCCTTACTGGCAGTTATCAACCCAGGCCCTTTTAAGTGATCCCATGACATACTCTGGTTTGTGTGCAGCCCAGCCTAAACCCTCTGGCCACCCCTGAGTATCACATGAAGGGCCTCTGACACACTGGACAAGTAGACAGCACATCTCGCTAGAAGTACAATGGACATTTCTTTCTTTTTTTCTTTCATGGCATCTGGGGAATGTCAAAGCAATGCATTTAAAATGAGACCTAGTTATACAACGTGATATTACTCGGCAATAAAAAAGGAAGGAAGTACTGTTACACAACACCAAGGCTGAACCTTCGAGAAACATTAGGTTACATGCAAGAAGCCAGACACCAAAGGCCGTGTGTTGTATGATTTCACTTATGTGAAATGTCCAGAGGACGCAAATCTGGAGACAGAAAGTAGACAGTGATTGGTTGCCTAGGCTGGGGGCAGGCGATGGGGAGTGACTACAAATGGGTGAGGGGTTTCCTTTTCATAGGGATGAAAACGTTCTAAAATCAAATTAGGGGTGTTGACTGCACATCCTAAACACAGTTGAATGGTATTCTTTAAACAGGTAAATTGTATGGTATATGAATTACATCTTCATAAAGCTGTGTTAAACCAAAAAACAACCCAGCGAGGAGGAATGAAAGGCTCACTGAAAAAGGTCTAGGAAGCAGAAAAGATCTTGGCGGGAACAGAGTTTTAAAATAAAATTTAGTTCTTCTGTGAAATCAATCACTTACGGTGACTGCTTCATCGGGAGTATGGACTGTAGATCACTTGAAAAGCAGTATATGAATACTGAATGTCTTGAATTTGAAAACTGTGCAGTGACTTTAAGAGAATACCTTTGTCCTGAGGCGTTAAGGGTAAAGGGGCATGATGAGTGTAACCCAGGTTCCAATGGTTCAGAAAAATACGTAGACGGAGCAAAAATAAAAAAAGCAAGTGTGGCAAATGTTACAAATTGGTGACTTGAGGTATAACCAAGTTATTTGTACCGTTTCTGTAACTCTTCTATAAGTCTGAAATTCTTTCAAAGTAAATAGTTCTTTAAAAAAAAAAAAAGGTATAGGTCATAGGTTATAAAAATACCAAACTCTTGACGATAGCTCATAAATTCACAGACGCAAGGGTTGGGGTAAAGCTGGGTTTCTGTAAAGCTAATCCACCAAATGAAGCTCATGCCCTCCGAGCAACCTTTCACACTGGCTGAAAGATAACTGGCTCTTAATCGAGACGTGGCAATTTAGTGTTTTCAACTGTAAATACTTTTCCTCTTTCTCACAACAGCCCTGTGCTTTTATTTTACTTTTTTTTTTTTTTTTTTTTACTAAGCGCAGCAACTTTTCACCCAGAGAAATCAGGACCGTGCTTTTAAAAAGCCAAGCTGTCTGAACAAAAACTTCTCTCAAGCAACACCTTGAAGTGACCTACAATTCAGAATACAGTATGTAAAAGATTTCAAATGGTCA